TTGCAATTATTCCCCGTGAACGAGGAATTCCTGGTAAGTGCAAGTCATAAGCTTGCGCTGATTATGTCCCTGCCCTTTGTACACACCGCCCGTCGCTACTACCGATTGAATGGTTTAGTGAAGCCGTTGGATTGGTTTCGTTGCAGTGGCTTTGCCGCTCGACAGATGCCAAGAAGACGACCTAACTTGACTATTTAGGGGAAGGAAAAGTCTTAACAAGGTTTCCGTTGGTGAACCTGCGGAAGGATCATTACAAGACATTCAAACATATACCCAATTGAAGCACGGATATTGTTCTGGTGTGCTGAGACATGCCAGTTGGTGTAGGTTCCCTAGATCAAAGCACCAAAGCATATAAACCCGAAAGATTAAATATGATTCTGAGAGAGTGAAGTATACATGGTGGTATCGTTCAGTGACGTAGACATGTGGCCTTGTGCTATGTGCACCATCGGGACGGATCATGCATGTTGAGAAGACTGAGCTGAGCAGTCGATAAAAGAGATCTTGGTGGTCTATTGATAAGTGTTGTTTGGCTTGAGCAACCATTCAGCACAAAAGAGTGAAATACTCTTTACGACTGGCACGGCAGTCGATGATTGAGTGATGACTGAAACCGCGCAGTCAATCATTCAAACTGAAACTTAAAGGAATTGACGGAAGGCAGCAATGCATTATAATTCTTTGACCGGGGTACCTAGCCTGTCATATGCTCTGATGGTGTTCTCGTGACTTTTGTTGCCAGATCTGCCAAGGGCGATGGGATAGTACGCGACCTAATGGTTGTGTGCAAGGTTTGAAGAAGGCTGTGTGCTATATGCATGCGCCTCGCCCTGATAATGTTTACTTCTTTTTACACTGTTTAAGCGATCCGGTTTGGCTTGCCATTCACGGGTTTGCTGCTCCGCATGCACCTGGCTTTAAGCTGGACTGCATGTACGCTGGCCTGGTAGACTTGCGCCCGGGTTGCAGCCTCGAACCTTTAGTTCTATGCATCTGGGAAACCGGTGTGTAGGATTATTGGAGTACAACTTTGAGCGGTGGATCACTCGGCTCGTGCGTCGATGAAGAGTGCAGCCAACTGTGTGAATTAATGTGAACTGCATACTGCTTTGAACATCGACATCTTGAACGCATATTGCGGCTACGGGATATCCTGTGGCCACGTCTGTCCGAGGGTCGGCTTTCCATCTATCACGATGCACTTTAAGTCGTGGATTGGGCGAGTGCCTGCCGGCGTGTATACCCGTATATCAACGCGGGTTGCTGGTCAAAGGCTCCGTCCGAATTTTTCCGGCCACAGCCTAGTCTGGTGTAGAACTTCTGATTGAGTCGCCACGGTGGGTTGTGCTCGAGTCGTAGCTTAATGATATACATATATGTAAACGCTCGAGAGTACATGACCTATCGTGAATACAGTTACATATAAATGAACGGCTTGATTGGGGGTCTATACATAGTCTATGGTTTAACCGAGAATGTGTTATGCACATTATTATTTTTACCCTGACCTCGGATCAGATGTGAATACCCGCTGAACTTAAGCATATCACTAAGCGGAGGAAAAGAAACTAACAAGGATTCCCCTAGTAACTGCGAGTGAACAGGGATTAGCCCAGCACCGAAGCCTGTGGTTATTTGACTGCAAGGCAATGTGGTGTTTAGGTTTGTTCTTGGCATTACTGCTCTGCCCCAAGTCCAGCAATGAGTACGGCATACCGTTCTGGCCCAAAGAGGGTGAAAGGCCCGTGGGGGTAGAGACCAAGCATGACAGTTTTGTCCAGAGCTTACCTTGGAGTCGGGTTGTTTGAGAATGCAGCCCAAAGTGGGTGGTAAACTCCATCCAAGGCTAAATACTTGCACGAGTCCGATAGTAAACAAGTACCGTGAGGGAAAGTTGAAAAGTACTTTGAAGAGAGAGTAAACAGTGCGTGAAACCGCTCAGAGGTAAACGGGTGGAGTTGAACTGCGATCCTTGGGAATTCAGCTGATGAGCATGATTTGTGCTTGGGCATATTGACCGCCTTTCAGTGTCTGCTTAACTGCGGGTGCCTGCCTCTGGTGGGTATGTGTGGTGCGCTTATCATGTGCCGCACGCATTGGAGGGTGTATGAGTCTGCTTGTCGGTGCACTTTCTCAGGGTGTTCACCACGACCGGCACTGCTGTCTGTCTGCTTTGGTCAAACTGATCAGGTCTGATTAACGTTGGGCTTGGTTGGGTTGGCAGGTGACTCACTGGTCCACTCTGTGGGCTATGAGTGTTACTAGCCGGCTATTGTGGATCTGTACGGTGTGTCGGAGACGGCGGCTTTGCATATGCGCTCTGTCCTTCAGGCGTGGTTGAGTCTGGTCGACTTGTTGCTAGTTTCGGCTGGTCAGTTGATGGCTTGATCATGTTCAGTTGGCAGTGGTGTGTGTGTCTTAGTTTGGGCCAATAGTCTGTGGTGTTGTGGTAGACTATCCACCTGACCCGTCTTGAAACACGGACCAAGGAGTTTAACATGTGCGCGAGTCATTGGGCTTTACGAAACCCAAAGGCGCAGTGAAGGTAAAGGTTTGGCTTGTCCAGGCTGAGGTGAGATCCTGTTGTTTTGCTCATTAATTCCAAGCTGCGAGCAGCAGGCGCATCACCGGCCCGTCCCATGACGTAGACATGTGGCCTTGTGCTATGTGCACCGTCGGGGCGGAGCAAGAGCGTACATGTTGAGACCCGAAAGATGGTGAACTATGCTTGCGAAGGTTGAAGCCAGAGGAAACTCTGGTGGAGGACCGTAGCGATTCTGACGTGCAAATCGATCGTATAACGTGAGTATAGGGGCGAAAGACTAATCGAACCATCTAGTAGCTGGTTCCCTCCGAAGTTTCCCTCAGGATAGCTGGCATTCTGAGATATAAACAGTTTTATCCGGTAAAGCGAATGATTAGAGGCATTGGGGAGAAAACATCCTCAACCTATTCTCAAACTTTAAATGGGTGAGAAGCTTAACTCGCTTAAATGGAGTTTTGCATTGAATGTGAGTGCCAAGTGGGCCATTTTTGGTAAGCAGAACTGGCGCTGTGGGATGAACCAAACGTGCGGTTAAGGTGCCTAACGCGACGCTCATGAGATACCACAAAAGGTGTTGGTTGGTCCAGACAGCAGGACGGTGGCCATGGAAGTCGGAAACCGCTAAGGAGTGTGTAACAACTCACCTGCCGAATCAACCAGCCCTGAAAATGGATGGCGCTCGAGCGTTGGACCTATACCGTACCGTTGCTGCAAGCTGGGCCTAAGCAGTGTGAGGGCAAGCTGACTTGGTCCAGGCACGGAGTGGCGGCGACGAGTAGGAGGGTCGCTGTGGCTAGCGGGAAGCCTCAGGCGTAAGCCTAGGTGAAGCAACCACAGGCGCAGATCTTGGTGGTAGTAGCAAATATTCAAGTGAGAACCTTGAAGGCCGAAGTGGAGAAGGGTTCCATGGGAACAGCAGTTGGCCATGGGTCAGGCGGTCCTAAGTGATCCGGTAAATCGGAACAGAGACGGGGTGCCTGACATTGTCCGCTTGCGGGCTTTGTTAGTATTGCTGCTAAATTGTACTGTTGCAACGCAGCCCCCTGTAGCGAAAGGGAATCGGGTTAATATTCCCGACCCTGTCCACGGGGATTGGTGCATGTCGGGTATCGAACCCCGGACCATGTGCATGGTCGGCGAGCGTCCTAACCACTATGCCACCGATGCACACCTATAATCACCTACCCACAAGTTATCAGGGCGAGTGTGGTGTATGCATCGCCGGTGGGAGCGTATCGTAATAATCTATGGCATTAAAATATACTTATTAGCCAGAGTATCACTAGATGCATTAAACTTTTGTAGGCAGCCGATTGGAAGCGCTGTATTAAGGTTTTGTGCTTATAAGCACTCTTCAGCTAGGCATGTTAACAACTTTGAAGGAAGCTGATACCTCCTTGGTGATCAGAATTCTCTTCTCTCATTTCAGCAATACGACAAAGACATTCATTCCCCTATGGTTACACATACACTTCTCATGAGTGCTGATATGCGCAACACCTAGATCCAGGGTTTCCAACTCAATGTCTCCACTAATCTTAAATTAATTCACAGTTATCAATGACGAAAGTCACCTGACTTGGTGTACGAAACTGACACAATTCAATCGCCATCGGCTATCCTCTTATACCACTTTTGCAGGACTGCTTTTGGCCAATTTGAAAGACGGAGTCCTTTAATCAGCGTTGTTTAGCCGCTATGGCTTTTTAAGTACAATTGTTTTATATTCACATCTAATATTTGCAATATTTAGTCACATTGCGTAATCAGTGTGATATGTCAAATCCTCAGTGACTGTGATTGAATTGTGACAGTTTCGTATACCAAGTCGGGTGACTTTCTGTCATTGTTAACTGTGAATTAATTTAAGATTAATCGAGGTAATCAGCAGGAAACGCGAAAGATGTAACTGTGATAGGCTCTCCTCCTGGCCCACTTTAGACAGACTGCTTTATGACCAGTTTGGATAAAGGAATGTATAAATCAACACGCGACACAATTTAGTGCTGTACGAAAACTCACTTTTATCTTGAAAATAATCTTTTTAGCTTGGAAGTTTAATATTATCATTTTTGTATCATTTGGTTAGAGATAATCAACCTGTTCCAGTCTTTATGTACAGAGAGATAAATATGATTCCTTATAACGTATAACACGTAGTAGTTGTTCTACGTTTCGTATGAATAAACAGAATGTCGCATTAAAAAATTATTTCTCCCTTTTCAGACATTTTCCTACTTATCTTAATCATGAGCTGAAAAATGTGGGAGTGCTGGACAGCTCTTTCATGAGCCTAGTTCGGGACTCTTCATCACTACGCACCTACAGGAGTTCGAATCCAGGACCTTCTGGTTACATTCTCATAACTTTTATAATTCTGTGATTACCGCATTCTATATTAGTAACAATTCACAATGTCTTATAGTGTATAGTAAAATAGGAAAATCCATTATTTTGTCATGACAACATTTATTTTAAATACAAAATATGAAACATAGTGAACGATAAATAATATCATAGTAGATTTATTTGTAACAATAACAGTTTTTTCTATTGAATTCCATTGTACCATAAGTGGCATGCCATTTACCATGTGTAGGCTTGACAGATGGTACGAGTTGTTGTTGACACTTTTTGTTGGGATCTTTTTCATATGGTCTCTGGGAGAAGTCTGCTCTGTAATAGAATAATTTTAAAAGATGCCTATATTATTCAATCTATTATATTTTAAGAGTTAATTATCTATTTTAAAAATAATTTATTATGTGATAACCGAAGGTGATTTCTTGGTTAACAATAACCATGAATGATTCAATATGCACTAAATTCTTACCCTGTTAATAGGATTTCCTTCTGGACTTCAGAAAACGGAATATTTAATACAAAGATCTACACCAACTAACCATAAACAATCTATTAGCCATACTTTACACCCATACTCATACGATTCTTCAGTGTTTTGAAAGGAAAACAGTCAGACTGCTTAAACGAAAATCATAGATTATAACTCAGTTGAAACATCGTTTCTTTGTGAACTGAGGTTCGTAAAATTCAATTCCAGATGGAGTGAGAACTCCTCAGTTTAGAGCAATCTTACACTGGGACACTGACACCTGTTTTCTGACTGTTTCTGCCCTGAAATAAATTAATGTCATACAAAGAATCAGTTTTTGTACACCAGTTATAGCTTAGATCTTCATGAATGTCAATTTATAATTATTTTAGGATTATTTTTTGGGTGACGTACTGGCACAGTTGGAAATGTCTCTTTTTGTCGGTGGTGTTTATTTTATTATTTATTGTTCCCTTGTGTTCCTAGTGGAACACAGGGCTTTGACTGCACGTCTGCACTTGCTTCTGTCTTCTGCTGTACTTTTCACCTGCATCCATGTTAGTCCATACTGTTTCAACTCCTCTTCACACGATCTCCTCCATGTCACCCTTGCACGGACGTCCCACTCGCCGCTTCCCCTTAGAGTTCCACTCGAGAAATGGCCTGACGCGCGCGCGATGTCACCCAGCGGCCTCCAGCCTCAGTGAGTGTCCGATCCATCTCCACTTTCTCCTGCATATTAGTTGGTTGGCGATTGGTTCTTGTTTTGTTTGTTTGCGCCCACAGTTTCTTGTTGGTGATTCTTTCCGGCTCGGCCATCTGATCTTCAGTATAAAGCGAAGACAGTTATTGGTTGATAAAGGTCTGCACCAAGCTGTTGGAAATATTCTTTGTTTCTGATCCGTATCGAAGAACTGACTGACTTGACGTTTGTATTGAAAATCCGATCGGATTTTGTTGTTGATGCTGAGCGACGAAGATTTCCAGATTGGTTTCAGGTTGATGAATGTGTTTCTCGCCTTCCCGATTCTCACTCTATTCGACATCCTCGTCCGCTCCGATTGCCTGTGGTTGAGACAATGCTCCCAAGATAGGTGAAGTGAATGAAGTAGCCTCTTTCAAATCCCTCACGTTGATGGTGATTGACGATGGATGTTGTTGCTGTTGTTGGTTGGTTATTTTCATAACTTCCGTCTTGTCTATGTTCACCTGGAGTCCTGTCTTTGCCGGCTGCTTCTTCGACCAGTTTATCGTTTTTCGCTTGTGAGTCTTATTTTTTAAGTGACATCAAATACAAATCATCCACGCTCAAAATCCAGTTCTTCTAGGTTCTTCACGTTGGTCCAGGATATCGCTGTCATTCGGTGGTGTGTACAGATTACGAAATATGCATTGATAAAGCAACTACTTCAGGTTTATGGACATCATCATTCGAATAACTTTCTAAAGGGAGCAAATATTCTATTGCATTTTAGAGTGACAAATAACTTGCAATCTAGTCATCTGACATACAAATATAAAAATAATTTTCACAACTAGTTGTTAGTTTTTATTACAAAGCGATTCATTATTAAAAATAAACGTGAGTATGCAAGGAAAACGACAAATATGAAAATGTATAATTACCCTTCTCCATAATTACAAACTACAAATAAATCATATTTGAAACCATTTCTGCCTTTACACCTAGTAACGCCACATCCCATTTCTGTTGTTTTGGCACTAACTATCTGAAATATAAAGTTGAAAGCGTGACTAAATATCCGCTTAGTTTAAACAATAAAAAAATTTAGATTGAAGTTTATGACAAAACAAATGAAGAGGAATAGGTTAGTAGCTATGCGTGATCAGTTGTTTCGTTATCTTCTGTACCTCATCGATATTTACGTTTAATGTGAGTGAAATATATACGTTTTTAAACGAAGTGTTAAGTGATGGGAAGAAAGTGGGAAGCATTACATATTTGCTCTAGACTCCATAGTGAATATTAATTTTCTTCATCCTTTTTGCGTTCACAGTGGAAAATAAAGCTTCAAGCTTTAGCTTTGAAGTTTCAGTGGCCATGGTGCTCATCTTCGAGGTGAAGTCTCTAGCCCGACGTCCAGTCATCCATCTTCACCTGGCCTACTTACCAATGGGTGTGGTAGTGTGATACAGACAATATGTGCCGATGGAATATTATTCTTACAGTTCACTATTTGAATATTCTATTTGATGTGAGAGACAGTTGAATAGTGAATTTGCAACAGAATACAATGTATATTTGAAGATTCTATTTCGTGTCGTTTGATATAAACCGAAATCAGACAGTCAGTGATTGGTTGAGGGATATAGACTGTAGATATATAAACAGAGGTTTGATTAATGAAAAATATACTTTGGCTCCCATGTCTTGCCTTCTGTTGTTACAAGAGAGGTACTTTAAAAATCTTTTTTTTTCGACAGAAACTTACCTGAAGGTAATTTCCAGACTTATCCACACCCGAGTGACTGTCAAAGTTGTAGTTCACATATTCACCAAACCACGACTGCATAGCACTAAAACAAAAGCGTTAATTACACAATATCTCTGTCATACTCTTTAACACTTGGATAACCTGCTATATTTTGCCCGACCTTTTTAAATTTCTTGGATGTAGGTGAATCGAATTCAAATCGACATGTATCTGATAATCTTTTTGCTTGTCTTGCGAGGTCATAGTCCCAAAGCTGTACAAAAAAAGATATGAGCATATAACATTTAGACAAGAGGCGTTTAATAATGACAAGATTTACATCACTTAGTGTGAATATTTGATACATGACTGTGTTGAAATTATCAAATCAGGGTATGCATATGAAAATGTTCGTTTCAATGGATTTGAAAAGAAATAATTATTCACTTGACAAATTAATTTTTTTCAAAATCTCAAGAAAGGAGAAATACCTTAACAAACTTACAAGGGTAGGCATTTGCTTGGCTGCCGGTTGTCCTGGTATCTTGCAGTTGAGAGCATCTTGACGATACCCGTTATGCATTTCCAATAAAGTGGCTAAATCTTGATTCCATTCATTTTGGCAGAGTGTTAGACGAAACAAAAAGCTAATAACACACAATAGTAGCATTGAAGTATGATTTCATATATGTTCAAGGTGTAAAATGTTTTCTGAGCTTAAATAGGTATCAGGTTAACTAGTGTACTTTTCTTTAGAAGATAAGCGTTAGAAAAGCAGTATTTATAGTAAACTCTAAGTGATTGTTTTCTGCTAACACCATACGCTTTATGTTTTAACTCCCTTTGATATCATTATCGTTGTGTAAGTAGACAGAGAATGAGAGAGAAGCGGTGGGCTGGAAGGGGGTTGTTCAATTTGTTTACTTGATTTTTTTGTTTTAAATGACTCAGAATTTGGCATTTATCTAAACTGTATCACCATGTGATTAGACATAAACATGTTATGAAGCCAAGTAGTATGATTTACCTTTTAAAATCAATCATTCACCGCGTCAACTCAAGGATAGTTATTTCATTTTAATAGCTAGTTGTGTGGTTTTAAATATACAATACAAATACACATTTGATGCTTATTTTTATCACTTCACCTGCACTCTTCTACAGATGAATGCAATGTTACCGAAAGAAAAAAATATTTACCCTTAAAAATGATCACCAGCCTGAAAAATCTACAGATTTTCATATGTTTGTAATAATTTCAAGATTGACCACGGACAGATTTCTGTTAGAGAACCATTAAAAATCAGGGACCAGTGGATAGCTGTTTCATTCTAGTCTGGAACTCATCAGCGAATTAACACCAATTGAGAATTAATTTAGTTCCCATTGGTGTGTGACTACAAAAATGGAGTTGCCTTAAGTTCTACTGGATGGCTGTAGACAGGAGGATCCATAAAGTTGGATATAGGCGCCAATGTGCGCCAACGATATTGGCTAGCGGTCGCATTATATATCGCGAACCAACAGAATTCAGAACTGATACGACATTGGATTTCGACCTAGGGGCTTAATGAAACACAAGCTTACCTTATGACGTGAAGATGTTGAGTTCAGTTCCAGTTGGTACCAGAGGTGCCTACTGGTGAAGAGGCTGAGATGGGAACGAAACAGCAGTCTGGCACTGTCTAATCCTCATTGTCTCCATATGTAAAAGGAGTGTGTGATAAATCTTGAAGGGAATCAAATTCCTGCACACCGGAATTTGATAATGTTTATATTACATTATGATTATGACGTTATAATAACTAAAATGACGATTTATAATGACGCCTATTTGCAGTCAGCAACAATTTAACATGCATGCTGCTTTAAACGGAGAATTCTTCACTGAGTATTATAAGGCGAGCTACCAATTAAAACACTTGGGCAGTGCGGTGTGCACAGCACAAAAATCTAGAATTCAGGATGTGATGGGATTCATTTTTGTCCCTGACAGGGGGTTATAGGTGTGTTTTGTTGCATGATACTAAACTGAGAAGAAATGACTTTCTATTACTCTTTCTGTAAGGACCAAAATCGACTTGTTGTGGCCTGAAAGCAGGAAAAAACTTTCTACTGGTCAAAATTTCCTTGAGTTACTCACAGTCAGAGAATGCAACCGCTACAGGTAAAACACAGTTATTTCAGACAAAATCTGCGATACGTTTTAAAAGTAATAACTTATTAAAACGCAAAATTACCTCAACAATACAGTTAGGCAGCTGTATTACAGATCTGATAAATTATCAGTAAAAAAACAAACGCTGTACAACGAAATCAGCCAATCAAAATTCAACTGTAAGAGGTATCTGAAAATCAAGTTGATTATTCTCAGTAATGTGGCGTCAAAACTCTCTCGGCAGGAGTCCCTCATCAAACAATTCCAGGACGCAGTCCAACGTCAAAATCACCTTCATTCACCCAAAACAAAATCACTGCCTTAAAACAAAACACCATGTGAATATCATCAGAGGATCCAAAATAGAAGCGTCAACACAATATACTCAAACAATGATATGTAATCTAGGGGAAAAGGGAGAAACAATTGTGGAGTTAGTTATAGTATACAAATAGATGTCAATACTGTGACTAGATCGTCCAGGATGCATTTTGTCAACAATTATTCTATTATAAGTTATTCATCATTAAATCCGATTCGAAATTAGTCATATCCACGAAAACTAACACACGAATAATCAGACATTCTTTAGTATTTTGTAAAACATATATTTCTTCAGAACAGTCGTTGGAGGGCATACATTTTTTAAATTGGTCAAATAGGAATCATTTTTAAAATTGTCAAGTATTTCAACTACTGTGATTATTTATTTAGTTTGGTTGGTTAGTTCATTCCGCAGAAATTAATCGGATCTAGATGATCAGTGTAAACAAATTTATTTTTATAATCAAGGCCAATTAAATCTAACCGTATCAAATATTTTTACTTCTTACTTTAATAATAACTAACCACAAGTGTATCATGTTTCAAGCATTAATTCATGATATCAGAGTGAGAATTAATCCAGTATGGTGGAAAATTCAATCTTAACTGATAAACGAATTCACAGTGTTATTTTCTTGATTCATCGCATCTCAAATGACACATAAATTTTCTGGCTTTTGAAGTTCCTATAGAGGTGTCGTTTTTCTTCCGAAGGTTAATAAGCCAATGCTGAAGGTTCTGTCTTTTGAAGGATCACCATCAGCTGATAAACCAGATGAGGTATAGGAATATGCCATCCAGAGGATTAAAACTGAACTTCCTGAAGGAATGGTTAGCGTCCTGCTTTTGCGGTGTTCTATTGAACACAACATGTATTTCCAGTTCATTGAGACCACGAAATACTTCAAATAGTTGATCGGAAACAAAACTTTGTGAACAAAGACGAACAAAGTGGACATATCTAGCTGTTTCATAAGAAATTTAGCCTCAGGACATTATTTTCAAGAGTCAGGGCCCCCTGAAAAACACAGAATCAACGAGAATTCGAAGAAGACTATGCAAAAACAGCGACCAAAGTAAGCAGTTATCCTCATGACCTAGTAAACATAATATGCAGAATATAGAATACAGAAAATGTGTAGAATTCAAGACAATACATTTATTGTATTTCAAGGAGAGAACTGCCTTATACTATACACCAGAGGTATACAGAGATATACATCAGAAATATCAAACATTACTGGAATTCTCAAACAAAATAACTACCCAAAGAACTTCATCACCGACATTAAGCATGGTCGAAAACGCATTCTGAAAACAGGGGTCTCAACAGTTATCATTCCATATAGGTCAGAGACACCATACGATATTAGAAGAGTAATTGATAAGCTCGACATCAGAGTTTTCTTCAAAACATCAGACACACTGCAAAGCAAACTTATCCATATAAAAGTCCAATTCCATAAAGATTCTCTATTTAATTGTGTCTGTAAAATAAGATGCTTGGAGTGTGATGAGATATACATCGGCTAAACATCTCGAGAAATCAAAATTAGAATATCTTGGAAAAACATAAGTCATACGTCTACAAGTCGTTGAATCACGCCACAATATTGATTTGGAAAAAAATGAAATAATCCAGAAATATATGCAGAAATCACAAAGAACGTCTAATATCAATCAGAAGCACTTCAGATCAAATGGAATGCAAATCGTCTGAAAAGAAATTATTTTTTTTACTATTATTTTTCCCTTCACGTTCTCCAGTGGAACATAGGGCTTCAAGCTAGAGGCTTGAATTTTCTGTAGCAGTGTTTATTTTACAGGATGGGGTTGCTAGCCTCATACCCAACCTTTCCTATTCACCAGCTTTTTACTTCTGGCTCAGTGAGGTAAAGGAGTGAGTCGGCCGGGGATCGAACCCCGGACCATGCGCATGGTCGGCGAGCGTCCTAACTGCTATACCACTGACCCACTATGAAAAGAAACGATGGACTAAAACAGGATCTGACCTGATTACAACACCCCCTCCCCATGAAATGACAAAAGCAACACGAATGTGACAAGCAATTTCATTATGTAAACACAGGCTGCTTTTATAATTTTATACACTTATCGATTCCAACAATCTCACCTGGTTTTGTTATCCTTACCTATTGGCCAAGTTGACAATGTATGAATTACCCCATGGTGAGCAACGATGATTAAGTTGTTATATAAGCTGATATTTTGTAATTGGCATAACTAACTGCCGGCAGCATAACACTAACCAGTCCGGTTGTCATGAGGAAACATACAGATCAACTTGCATTGAGAAGATACTGTACTTCGTGTTTGATGTCATTGAATATGGTCAACTACAAGCTCACCTGTGATTGAAAAATACTGTTTTCTGGGTCTTGCGAAAACAATGACAATAAGAGAACTACTAGAAGCTTGCCACTTCAGCGGATCTTCAGAAATGTGGATAAATTCCAGTCTACTTAAGAAGTAAAGAATCATCTCTCCCGCAGATCGGTTAAAAATACTCAGCGACACACATGATAATGAATAATTACCTTCATCCGATACAAACAAATGGATTCGAAAAAGGTTTTTACACTGAAATCACTTTCCTCAGTTGAAACTGGACAAGATAATGAAAAATCAAAAAAGGCACTAATTCTGGTAGTGTATCCTAGATGATCAAATGCCGAGGCCCCGAGAAAACGAAATTTCATTCCCATCCTGAACTAAACATCTTTTCAACAACTTCATATCTCTATTTTCATGGTTTTCTCTCAAATCTCTCAATTGTCATCTTAAAATACGTTTAGTTCTGATAAATGGAAGACATAAAAATAAGATTTCTAATAAGCATAGCATTATAAGCATTTTCATCGTAGACACTGTGAAATCCTACCATTATTTTCAGAGTGAATGAAGTTGAAGTAGAGATTTGACTGCGATTTTATGCTCTATTCAATGACTATCAGTAGAGGTGAAGTCTGATCATTATATGATTTGCTACCCTAAATCCATTTTGTTGCATGTGGAGTTATTTTGATGTGGTTGAGTTCTCTGAGCTGGATGGTTAATTCGCGAAGCTTTCATTGCCCCACCACTAGGAAACATCTAAAGCGCATAATTCAATTTCATGAAGTCAGCTTTCAGACTTCTCCGCCAGCTTATTAGTCATCTCTCCTGGTGACCTAGGTTGTGATTGGCTGTTTATGTGTTTTCACACCTTCTAGGCTACTTGTATTGTAACTGATTGTTTCCTGGACTTGAACTTTGACCGTTTGTGTGTGAGGTTTCTTTCTTATCGGTTGATAAATTTTGTCTATCTCTATGTGTCTAGTGATTGATAATTCACTGGAATGCCAAGCTTCTAAAAATTCTCTAGCATTCTTGTTGTTTCCCCTGTCTGATATTCGAACACTGGTTGTCCCAGTCGAATTGATGTCCGCGGTTGTCTGTATGCAGTAAGGCGATATGAGGGAGTGGATATCATGTCTTTTGACGACTAGCTTATGTTCGTCGA